CCATCGGATGAAGTCTTCACTCTATCGACTGACAAGCTTGTGGAGGAAGTCAAGCGCGCTGTGTTTGGACCACGGACGTGGTCGCCCAACCCGTCAACTACACCAACCTTGATTCGACAGTCCACGGTTCCGCTGCAAGACAATCGCGTCGCCTCCGCCTCGTTACTTCCTGGGGGACGCTATATAATGTTCCGAACACAGATATTCGGGACACAGGCTCAGGACCGCGAATATTTCAAGGAGCTGTTGGAATGCTACAATGTTTCTACCGGACAACGCGTCTGGAATTGGAGTCGCACAGGGTTCGAGGTCCTCGATCCACAGTTCGACGTTTGTCGCGGCTCCAAGGTGACCATGTCTCTAATTCTATGGCCATGGCAGTTCGGGCTGTATGTTGTGCCATTTTCATTCTGCGGTTCCATTCTCAATCATACATGCAGTGGAACGCCGATCGAGGTGTTGCTCCTGGAGGCTGATTTTGAGTCCGGCCATTCCCGGGAAATTATACATTTCTTCGAAAGGGGCTTGAAGTTTCAGAGTCCGCAAATCGCAGATGACTACTGGGGCTGCACTGTGGTAGGGAATGATATGGAATGGATCCCGCTTTTGGTGAACCACCGTACCAAGCAATACATTGCTATCGAATGCTCAACACTGGTCTAAACTTCTCTCAGAAAGCACACGCCCACACACTAACGGATACATGCATTATAGACCCGTTTGCATCTTGTCGCTGGTCATATCCTCCTCACAAATCCTGCACCGGGCCCCGTTTCAGCCCGTCTTTACTCTATCTCTTCTCTGAACTCACATTGGAGACCCCTGGCGAATTTCAACCTGGAGCTCCCCACGTCCGAATCGGCGCTTACTCCGAGTCCAACCCTCCTTCCCGTGACACGCGACACGACACCCATCGACCGCGGCGTCGACCGCCCGCACCAACGCCGTGTACTCCTGGCTGAGAGTCTCCTCCGCCGACACACCTACCTCCTGCGGGTCTTTGACATGGTCTCGTCCCCCACTATTCCGGACAGCATCCGGACGACCTCGACGCACCGGCTCAGTTTTTTCCGCAGCCGATGGTCAGACACCCGAGTGCACCCTGGTGTCGACGTTCGTCGAGGCCCCTGTTGTTGGCATGAATTTCATGGAGACCTCGCGCGCGGAGTACTCCCTCCGCAACTCGTTGGTCACCGACAATCGCGTGGGTGTTTTCCGCCCGGAGGACGGGACAGCAAAGTACATTGAACTTGACGTCGGTGTGCACCGTGCGCGCTACGCGTCTCTGGGCAATAACGGGGGATTGGTGGTGCTCCACGAATCCGGCGTTGAGATTCTTTATTATGACTAGGTGTGCGGAAGGGACTCGCGAGGGAGTGGTTCACTGGATAGATCCACTTCTTTTGGGTTTGAGTTTCACGCTAGTACGATGTTTTCTTTTGTATTAATCCCAGCTCTGCCAGGCATAAATTTGCAGCCAGACGTTACGGATTCGTTTCTCAAGACCAACCAGCGAGGTAACCATCTGCGGAAGGCCTCAACTACCTCCAACGCCGTCCTTACACCTCTCGCGCACCGGCTTGGTGGTATCGGTGCGGTACAGTCACTCGGAGTAAATCTGAGACCTGCATGGTATGAAGATCATGAAATTATGATCATTGAGGGCGGTGAAGAAAACGGGAGGAACGGCGGCCGCCGTTGAAAAGGGCGAGAAAGGCGTTGAGAACAAGAGAGAATGGAGTATGCACCGAACCCCCCCTCGCCAGTCCAAGTTCGCCGCACCGACCGAATTCACCACACGGGTATATTTCTTATCGTCGAGTACCTGCTGTGCTATGAATGCTGCCCGCACTGAAAATCTGGCGCAAGTGCAATCACCGACGCGATACCATCCCCCAGTTAGTGTGTAGGGATACCAAGCTAATTCGTTCGTTCATCCGGCCATCGATATCTCAACTTTACATGCACGGAGACTGAATTTGAGTTCATCTGGAGAGATTTGGAGATAAACGAGGCAGGTGAGAGGTACATATGTCTGGGTGTCATTCGCCCGAGCGTCTATCAACGAGAAACTATGCCTGAATTGAAGTAATTGGGCTTCATGCTGAACGGCAGCAATAGCTGCAGTGCTAATTGCATTCATAATTAATGAGATGGGTAGATAGGTGTCTGGGGTGAATTGATTCATTCGTTGCAAGAGGGTGCTTGCTAATCGGTCGTTAGATGGCAAGTTGAACATTTCAACCGCCACCCGGAACTACCCGGGACCGGCCATCACACGGCACGACGAAACTGTGCAGCAGCAATATTGCCCATATGAGAAAAAGGGGACGCGACGGCGAAATATTGTCAAGGCTCGTAGACTTGGGGCTTTGGGACAATGGACGTGGAAGGATCTTGCGAGAAACGAACGAGTGCAGGAACGGATTGGATTATCGCTGGACAAGAAACGTAGAATAGCCCTATGCCTTGTTCGCAGCGGCGGCGGCAAACTTGGCATCCTCCGCCGCAGCGACGGCGGGGTTGACCTTCTTCCCGTCCTTCCACCGGATGCGCGGTGGCGGCGCACGGTTCCTCCGCCCCTCGCGCGAGCGCACACGGACGACTGCACCAGATTCGTCAGTTTTGATTCGGGGTACAAGGGAGAGAGGACGCACTGTGTGCGTGGATGGCGCACGAGACGCAGTATGCGATTTTGTTGTAGAGCTTGGGGATAACGTATTCTGCGCGCAGAGACTCGGTCGGACGATAAAAAGTCGGAAAAGAATGGAAACGGACCCTGGTAAACGCTGGCTTCGCTGATGTCGCGGACAGCGGCGCTCTCGACCATGTTCCTCACGGTGAACCTCTTGATGGCCTTGTCCTTCCCGACGCAGCGAGAGCAGTTGGAGCAGCGCATGAAGGTGACATGGCCACGTCCCTTCTTGTTGCGGCCGCCATTTCTTCTTTTCTTGGTCTGTGGAAGGGGGATGAGTATGCGACGACAATACAAGGTTTCCAGGGCTCAAACGGCGAGCACGACACTGACCATTTTTTGGTGGTGGGAAGAAGGACTGTTTGGGCTTTGTTTGCACGTGGTACGTAAACTGCCATTGTTCTCGCCTTCCTCTTTTGTAACAATGAAGTTGAACCGAATGTGGTCTATTGTTCTGGGCGCTATAAAACTGGACGCAATTTCCCAAGGATGCAACTCAAATCCCCTTCACGACCCTTGTCTGTCTTTGCCTGGCCACGTCTGAGCCCGGAGCTCCTCACGCACTTTTACCATCTTTCATTTCAACGAATCAACCACCGCAATGTTCGGTCTCACGTCCTTTTATTTCTTGCTTGCTGCCTCTTCTGCCCTCGTCTCGGCCGCCCCGGTCCCTAGAGCCTCTTCCGATGCTGCCGCCCTTCTGAAAACCGGCCAAACCGCACAAAACATGAACTTCCAATTCCAAAACCTGACCGCCACCGATGCATGCACGAGTGAGTCGCCCCTGCTGCTTTGCGCTCACTATGCTGATGCTGTTCAGCTGGGGACGTTGCGTGCATCAAGGGCGACCTCGCCACCTGCGCCAACAGCAAGTGGCAGACCACAGGCTGCTTGAACGGCCTCTCGTGCTTCGCTATTCCCTCGTTCAGCAAAGCGAGCGGTGTGGTACGTTGACGTTTGCCTTCGCTTGTAGGGATGGCGGCTCATTCTACTCGCAGGACGTCACCTGCACGAGCGAGCGCAACGCGCTGACTACGATCCATTCCACCGGCGCCTCGAACGACATCGCCGTCGCCAACGCCGCGGCCGACTCCACCGAGGAGACCTGCGAGCCCGACACGGACAACGGGGACGACGACGATAACGACTCTGGCGACGACACCTGCGATTCCGACGGGGACGACAAGGACGGTGACGACAAGGACGACGGCGACGATACCTGCGAGAGCGAGGGCGGAGAGGGCTCCTCTGCCGCTGCGACCTCCACCGCTGCCCCCGGCAAAGCCAAAGCCAGCGGCACCACGACCGTCACTGCGGGCGGGGAAGCCACCGTCACCGTCACCCTCCCCGCCGGCGCCACCGCGCCCGCCGAGACCACCACCACCGTCTTCGTCACCGCCCCTGCGTCTGCGTCCGCATCCGCATCCGCATCCGCAGCGTCAGGCTCGGCTGCCCAGGCCTCGGGCTCGGGATTGTTCTCTTTCTCGGGCACGATCACCCTCGAGCCGCAGACGACCGTCGTCAGCCCGGAACAGGCCCAGTCCATCGTCTCGAGCTTCGCCGCGGAGGGCGCGACTGTCACCACCGTCGGCGCGCCAGCTGCGACCTCCGCCCCCGCTGCTGCTCCGGGCGACAACGACGGCGCCGCGAGCGCAAGTGCCAGTGCCACCCGCTCGATCATCCAGCTGTCGTTCGCGCCTGCTTCCGCGACACCCACGCCTTCGAAGGCGAACAACGGCGGGGCCGCGAGCGCGAGCGCCTCGAAGGCGTCGGCCTCGGCGTCGATCATCCAGCTGTCCTTCGCGCCGGCGCCCTCCGCGTCCGCTTCCGTTTCCGCTGCCCCCGCCCCCTCAGCGGGCAACAACAACGCCGCCGCAGCCGCGGCGCCCGTGATCACCCTCCTCCCCGCCCCCGCGGCCGGCAACCCCTTCCCGTTCTCCGACTACTAATACTAAATGCATCTGCACACGAATTCACCACGACGGACCTGCCCTGACCTGCCCTACTTATCTCACCTCATCTCATCTCACACTGTAGCGTTTAGATTACCTTACCTTACCTTACTTGGTATACTCATTGTTGTATTAGTTTAACTGTGTTCAATCGATCCGATTCAATGATTTGAAGCAGTTTGAGGCGAGCGTGGGTTTTGATGATTTGGGAGAGAAATGACCGAGTTCGTCGCGGGTGTGTGTAATGCAGCGGCCCTAGCGGTGAGTCTGCCCTGCCTTCCACCAACTGTCAGGTTCCAGTTGGAAGGTCAGCTGTGTTTCCAGATGGCTACATGGGAGGGGGATCTTTTATCGGCCGTCTAGCTCAGTTGGTTAGAGCGCCGTGCTAATATCCAGAAACTTAACATTTTCCATTACGCGGAGGTCTTGGGTTCGACCCCCACGATGGCCATGCGTTGAAAACGTAGGTGTTTTGTTTCACCGACTTGTCTTTTTGTTCGGCAAAACCATGTCCCGTACACGCGCTAACATAATGGATTTGATGCTTCGTTCAATGATAGAAAGTCAGTATAACAAGCTGCTCACGTCCCTGGTGGACCCCCCACGCTTAGAGGCCCCCCGGGAGAAGTTCCCATATTGGGATGTGGGCGTTGTGGTGTTTGGTGTTGTATTCTCCATCACTGAACGCGGCCTCGTGACTTTGTTCAAAACTTGACACAACCGCGCGAGTCGCTCTTTGTTTAATGGTTCCAAGGCAGAATACAGACATTGACTGCACGCAGGCTGAAAGGCGTTTCCGTCAAGGTTCAACTTGAAGTTAAGTATTTAGATGATCGATTTCTGTTGTACCCAGTTCTACGTTCTATAGTTCCCAATAATACCCAAACATTACACCGAATAAATAAATATACTAGAGTCTATGGACAGGAAAGAGGGTGGGTCTCGGTCTCCGGAGAGACGTGAGGGAAATTATGTGTGTGTGTGTGTTGCGGTGGGTGAGAGAGCGGGGGTTGCGATTAGATTAGATTGGACTTAGACGGAGAGCGTGCTGGCGAGCGCGGATAGGGAAGGCGAGAAGAAGTACTCGCCGCCGCGGGAGACGACGAAGTCTGTGTGGAGTGGAACGCAGTCAACGTTGATGGTACTTGGCAAGAATTGGAAGAAAGAAAGACGTGCCTGTGGTGAGGGTGGTGGCCTTGGTGAAGTCGGTCGGATCGAGGCCGGTGACGACGCGCTGAGCACCAGCAAGGGCACCGATGACGGGGTCGACACCGACACCGGCGTGCACGAAGCTGTGGATGGATTGTGAGTTTGCTGAAAGACAGTTCAGAAAGAATAAACGGACTTGGCGCTGTTGGCCCAGGTTTGCTGCAGGAAGCGGAAGCCGTTGCCGATGTTGGACTGGTAGGCGACTGCATTGTAACATATTAGTTGAGAAATATATGAAAATAATATTAGGATGAACGAACCAAAGGCGAGGCCACGTTCGGTCGAGGTGGTGCTCGAGGCAGCCTCGGCATCGGAAACTGCAGTTCATAATTTATTCGTGATCAAACGGAAACAAGACTGCAGCAGACCTTCGGGACCATAAGGAATACCGGCGCGCATGATGTGATGCACGGTCTCTTCGGGCGTGCCCAAATCGGCACGGGGGCGCGTCTTGCGGATGTGCGCAGAGAAGGGGCATCTGAGTTCGTTGCAGGTGTTAGCGCTGCACAGATAATTATGCGTTGAACACACCTCGTCTGGTTGGTGGCGAGGACAGAGTCCGCGTGTGCGAAAGTGAAGTTGTTGTTGCGGGTGGGGGTCGGCGCCGAGTGCGGGGTCATCGAAGAGCGGGGCAAGGTCGATGGGGGCACCCTAGTATTTGAGCGCGCAGTGAGCGATGCGGATGATAATAGAGACGAGAGATTGAACGTACGCTCTTCCAGCGGCCAACCATGCGCGCGCCGAGGAGATCAGAGCCCTGTTGGGCGGTGAGTCCGTCCTCGACGATGGGGTTGTCGGTCAGGAATTTGTTGAACTCGGGAACGAGCTGCTCGAGCTGGCGGAACACGAGGAACGAGCCGTCTTTGGCCCAGGCCGGGCGGGTGGTGACGGTGTCGCCGGTCTCCCCGACGAGGATCGCGCCGGCGTTAAGGACAGACTGCCCCGGCATGGGATTAGCCGTGAAGCCAGTGATAGCGGGGTTCGAGATGCCGTCCAGGAAGCCGAAGTCTAGGTAGAACATGAGTAATGATCGGAGTTCAACTTGAAGTTCAACCAAGCTAGGTACTCACGTTCGTGGCCTGCCTCGGCACCGGGGCGAGCCGCAGCCTGGAGAGAGTAGACTTTGGTGATGCTATCCCCCAGGGCCGCCTCAAGGCTGGCGACTGCAGTGTTGATGTTGTCGACCGTATCGGACGCAAACAAGAGGACACCATGAATACCCGTGCCGGCGAACTCGGGGACCCAGTTCGTGGAACCCGGGTCACCCAGGGTTTTGAGATCCTTGAATTGACCGCCAGTGAAGGCGGAATCACCGAGAGCGTCGGTTACATTGAGGGCGGTGAGACCCGACTGGGAGAAGGCGATGTTCACGAGCGTGGTTGGTTCTGTCGAAACGTCGAGCAGTTGGGAGGTGGTGGTAATGAGAGGAACGATATCGGACGCCAATTTGGGCTTGAAGTCCGCTGCATCTGCAATGCTGAAGAAGTAGAACAGCTCTTGGTTCTTCTTCATTCCGATTCTAGACGACAAATTAATATATAGCCAAGCTGCCGAAGAGAATCGGATCCTCACAGCACATCACCCTGGATGTCGTCCAAATTGAGACCGGCAGCGTCTGCAGCGGCAGTGGCCGCTTGAACAGTCGGCAAATCCGGGAAAGCATCGGGATCTGAATGAATGAATGATTATCGGTATGTAGTGTCGAGAACAACGTAAAAGAAATAATCACTTATGAGAAGGGAAGAAGCCCGTCTTGGCGTCGGAGTTCGTCTGGAATTAGCTGCTGAGGCGAGACCGGAAAAGAGGACGACAGTAGAAATGAGATTAATGGAGAGCTTCATGGCGGAAAGAAAAGAAAGAAAGGCCCAGAAAAATGGGATGAGGAAATGCAAACATGAAGGCCCGCTTTTAAGGTGCTTAGCTACTATCGCCCGGTTAGGGACCCGGGACAGGAGAACTGACAAGGGCAACCGAATGGAGAGAAACAGTGATTGCCCATGGCACTCGCATGGCGAATGCTTCCGTTTCGAGTTTCAACACCCGTTTGGAATGCCGATGAACTACGAGTACTCGATCTCCGTTTGGACTCCAGATGGCTGATGCGTGTACTCGCGCTGGAACGGCAATAAATGCTGAAACAACAATAAATCGAAGAATAAAATGTCCTTTAAATTTGTGAACGTTTGGGTGACTTTCCAGCGTCGGCCACAGACCACTTGCGAGCCTTGAGAGAGAGAAATTTTGCCACCGACGACTCTGTCTGGCCTCATCTTCTCCCACAGTGGTCAAGTTGAGGCCCGAAACTTCGGTCGGCAAACCTGTTGCCTCCTGTTGCGTACCCATCGAGCCGCTGCTTCTGACTCTGCTTATCTTATCCTTCCCGAAGTACTCCGAAGATACTTTCCGTGGTAGGTATGGAAGAGACTTCCTTTTTTTTCTCTTTGCGTAGAATTCTGCAAGTTAGGTCAACACGAATTGCAGAGGCCAAATCGGGAAAAATTCAGGCAATGCGGGGAAGCTCCTATTGCGGTTAATAGTCCAATAGCAAGGCTGCTATTGGAGCATCACGACCGAGCAGTGATGATCTGTGAGCTGCGATGCGGTTTGAACGAAGTATCGGCAATCAACGAAAAACAAAGTGGGTCTCCTTTCGTCGGCAGGCAATCCCTTCCGTTAGGATCACCTCTTGATTCAAAACGACGTCCTGACAAAGAGATTCAAGAACAACGGGCTTGGAAACAGAAACGTGTAATCGCTGCCGACTCATCGGGGGACCTGATTAACCCCCGCACTGCGACTGTGCGGGTACATCATTCCAAGTAGCGCTGAGAATCTTTTCATGGCCGCCGGCAGTATGATTGCGTAGGGTTGCGTTGAACACTGCTAAACACTTCCCCGAATATCGCAGCATGCAACTGCTTATGACACGAACAATCAAGGTCTAGGAACCGTCGGGCGCAGCTCGCAAATGGGGAGAGCTTACACGAGCGCCAAGAGGATCGTCCTCGGTGGTTCACCCGAATAGCGAAATTTCTGAGTCGACCATACCTCAGCCCCGGTCAAGATGTTCAAGCTTGATCTCGCTTGAATCCGGGCGAACCGTCAGCGTCGTTCAACACCGAGGTGGCCGACATATTTATAGACCGACCTACTATTCTTGCAGGCGAGCTTCGCGAAGATCCTGACTTTGAGCTTCCACGGCCTTCGGCCATTGCTGGCTAGATAGGACCAGACCCACACTGGAAGGGGGATTCATCAAGGCTATGGTGATGAACATTTGTGAATGATATCGCCTGTGACTGCTGTCCGGCCCTGCGCGAACTCCGCCGAATGGCACCATACCGAGGCGCGTTATGTTGTACTCGGGAATTTTTTCTTGGGGGTTGTTCAGCTGAAGGAACGATCACAAGCAACATAACGTACACGCCGTGGTTTCAACCTCGGATTTTGTGTCATCTTCGTCGCGTATACCCAACCATTTTGCCCAGTCTACACCTTGCTTGTGCAACATCATGAGCGCCATTACGACCGGCAAGTACCAAAGACTATGTCGGAACATGAGGCGGGCCTCTTTCTCCCCACCGACGCGCCAAAACTGCCATGCTGCGTGGACGCATATGGCATTCGGGACCAACGAAGTCAGAGCAAAGGTCCAGGTCGTGAGGCCGGAAAGCGGGATAAGGACGGAGCAGATGGGGACGAGTAGAAGGGCATGTCGCAGAGCAACGACTGCATTTTTCGAGGTGATAAGACAGCCAGCATCCTATAGCCCGCTTGCGCGTACGACCCGCGCACGAGGTGGGACAACCCATTAAAATGGGGGAATTGCCAACTGAATAGCAGCATGAAAAATGCGAGAGGCGCTAGGGCGTTGTCAATGAGGGCGAGGTCGACAGGACCGGCGGATAGGAACGGAGGGAGGAAGAGGTGTATGGGGTACGATGGCGATAGGAATAACTGTCCACCACAGGCAGTCCAACCCATGAGTGGAGGAAGTGCTCCGACAACGGAGCCGACCCAGGTGTTGTAGATGGTTTTTCTCTTCATCCACGTGTAGAGGCCGGCATAGAGCGCGATGTTCGACGCGCCAAGCAAGGCAGTGGTAGGATTCACCATCGTCCAGAGAAGGAGGGGGCCGGATATTCCGGTAGCGACTGCGAAGCCTGCTGCGTGGAGAGGCGTTATTGCTCTCCTCACGAGAGGACGCATCCGGGTGCGAGCCATCTGCGCGTCGAGAGGGAT